CAGGTCCCTATAAAAAGCATCAATCAGGCAAGAACATATCTAAAGCACCGCGGAAAATCAAGATAAACACTAAAAGTCATACCGAGATGATCCAGCTCCGGACACGTGCAGTAGACATGTCCACATGGTGGCTGCCCCAAGAGGCGCTCACCGGAAATCCCCTCGGCGATGGTCTCGCCGGCGCAGCGGAAGGAAAGTACTCGTAGAACCAGATCTACAAAGAGTTAAAAGTGAGAATAAATGCTAACTAATATGTAAGGCTAAACTTTATAGGGAATAATGTTTACCTCTACGACCTTCCAAAAAGCGGACAAAGCAACGATCGTCCTAAAGGACCGGTAACGACACGAGTCCCTCAGCGCACGAACGAAGTCAGCATAGGCCAAGTTGGCCCAGTCATAAGTCCCGATCCGCTGGAGATCACGGACAGCAGGAAGATAGTAAAGCAATGCCCTACTACCCTTGTTAGGTGAGAATGTCCCTGACAACAACATCAGCACAAAGATGCGCACCCGCTGCTCTCGGGTGGTCGCATCGTCATCAAGAGTCGCTGCCAGCGTCGAGCGGCGAATCCCTCTAGCACTGAACTGAGTCGTCTCGACCTCAGCTCGGGCCCGAATAGCAATCGGCCCCAACAACTCCTCGACCTCTGAAGAAAAGACGTCGATCCCACCGTCGAACGGCAGTGGCACAGAAGTGAACTCCAGTCCTGTGATGAGACTGAAGTCTGTAGGGGTGACCATCATCTCGCCCCAGGGAAAATGGAAGGTGTTGGTGGTGTCCCAAAAGAACTCCACCAAAGTGAGCACTACATGATGACCCCCGCTAGAGGCGACCATAGCCTCGGAGGTCTCAAACAGAGTAACTAGCCCGTAAGACTCCCATAGGAGTCTCGTCTAAAGGTCCCTGGCGATGTGCATCCTGTACAAGTCGCCTAAACCGTCACAGCCAGAGACGTGATGCCGTGTCCTCCCGGGCTCGGTGCCCCGTCTCACCCTCTCAGAAATGTGGTGGACAGGGGCAAAGAACAGAGTCTGCTCATCCCACTCCGGAAGCCGACCAAACGAAGTGGACGGCGTGGCGTCGTCCTCCACGGGCTCATGCTCCCGTCTAGTGTTTCGGGACCGTGAACCCGAGCCTCGTTGTCTAGTACATTGTGCAGAATCATCATAAATTAAGGTTCTATAGTATCCAAGGTTCGCCTAGCCGCATGATACTATGTTCGCAAAAATAGAGTACGTAGTACTAAAACAGAGCAAAATTCAAAGTGAGCATGATAGAATTTTTTTCAAGCAATCAAACAATTTCTTGCAACACTATAGTGATTATTGTGACAAATTGAACAAGAATTGCTAGCAAAAATGTCAAGAACGAGCTACATTGTTCTTCACGACCTTAAGAGGTCCAACAATGGCAAATTGCTCATTTCTTCACCAAATTGAGTCAAACAAGTCTCAAATTACTCCCAAGGCAATATATAAACATAAACAAGAAATTTCATGGCATAAAACTTGACAAACAAAGCAAATTGAGCATCATAAAATTCGAATTTTCATAAAATTCGTGAATAAACATGCCAAGAATTCATAAAAACTGATGTGAGTTTGAGGATAAATTACATAGATCGGGAAAATAGATGAGAAGGGCTTTGATTTGCAACAAATTTGAGCGAATTCGGTTGAAAAACGAGCAAGCAATGAGCAATTGAAGCTTTCGGTTTCCTCGAGCAGTTTTCGTGACGAACATAGCCGCGAAATGAAGAGAAAACGGGCATTTAAAGAGAATCCCGTGCTGGCTCCAGTCCCTAGGCATTAGCGTCACAAGTTGGGCTTGGCGCCTGGCGCCAACACCAGCGCCTGGCGCTAACACCAAATATCTGGCGCTGATGGTTTTTCAGCGACGCCAAAGCATCTTGCCACCTGTTGAGGTTGTGCTAGCCTTCTACAACATATTTTTGGGTTCCTTGGTACGCCAGTTAGCCCCTATAAGCAATTTGACATGATTTAAGTAATCGGCTTGATTACATAAAGTGATCGACCTGATAAGATATCGTCTTCACTTAGCTTAAAGCGCCTAAGCATAGGCTCATTAGCAAAAGGCACCGACATATAGGTTCAAGAGCAAAGGGCACCGACATATAGGTTCAAGAGCAAAGGGCACCGACATATAGGTTCAAGAGCAAAGGGCACCGAAATATGGGTTCAAAAGTAAAGAGCACCGACGTACAGGTTCAAAGCAACAAGAGCGCCGACGTACAGGCATAGCGGAAGCAAAGTTCAGGCGAACTTTTAAAGATCGACAGGCGTGGATCTTCGGTAATTTCCTTTGGAAAATTATCGCATCAAAAGAGGATGACTTCAAGAGAAGATATCTTCGACAGCGTTCCCTAGCTTGCGGAGAGTTGTCACGAACAACATGAGGATTATATCAAGCGAAATAATCTTCGATAGTATTCCCTAGGATGTGGAATATTATCAATGCGGGTGAGGATTGTTTCAAGAGAAATAATCTTCGATAATGTTCCCTAGGATGTGGAATATTATCATAGCAGAGAGGATAGTTTCAGGCGAAGCAATCTTCTAATTTGGAAGTAGTTACAGGCGTAGCGGTTTTCAAGCGGGATGGCATTCTCTAGCTTGCAGGAGGTCATCAAAACAATCGGTTACTTTCAGAGACGTGTGCTCGCCGGTGCAAGATACGCGTTTCTTAACTCTTTTATCTGTTTAACTAACGCTAGTTTTGCAGGTATCAGCGTTACAAGAGTGATTTAGGATCGCAGAACGTTCTGAGTCATTCTCCGTCCCTATCGCTACTTTGACTTTTGTTTTCGAAACTTGCGTTTCTCCAAACTCAGTCAAAGTGGGGGCTTCTGTAGACACCCATTTGTTTCTCCCCAAAACCAAACCCAGTGATGAGTACCTTTCGCGTCGAATCATAATCGAATGAAACGAAAGTGTGGAAAGGTCTAGTGTTGCGGAAAGTTTTTATTTTCTTTTTCTCTTCTAAGAAAACAGCCAATCCAGTTTGGTTGGTCCATGATATGGGTCCAATAATGGAGTAGTTGGATGGGGCTTGCAAAGACCTTTCCAATGATATATTATAAGCTCAATTCCGATGAATATTGAGGAAGTTATGGCCAATTTACTAAACTGGGCCCGGTTTGAGCTTTATATGCGGCCCAATGATATAGGGGAGGGCCTAATATGATTTATCATTTCTAATGCAATTAGGAATGGTTTTAGTCTTCTATATTCTTCTAGGAGGTTCTTTTCGTTCCTAATTCAATTAGCATTGATAAGTTGACTTTTCAAAGTTTTAATCAAAATCAAATAGCATTTTCGAAGAAATTATATTATTTTATCCTCCAGTACGGTAAATTTATCAGATTTTCGAAAACGCGTCGAAATTAAGCTTGGCGTCCAACCCCAGGCCTTGGCGCCTGGCGCCAGCTAGCCAGGGTTGGCGTCAACCTCGTTTTGCGTGCGTCAGACTTTGTTTTGTTAAATTATCTTTTTTGGCTGATTTTCTCTATAAATATCGTATTAAAAACTTCGTTTTCATTCATCAATTCTCTTCATTCATAAATCATTCGTCTTTCCCAAAACTTGGTTTTTCTCATACAAAATTCCGCATTCACAAGATTTAGAAACACCTAGCCATATTCGAAGTTTCCTTCGCCCTAGACGTGAAAGGTTTTAATTTATGAGGGTTTGGTCCCAAATCTATCTTTCAATTATTTAATTTGATTGTTTGATTATTATTTTCCTTGAAGTTACTAACGTGTGTATTTTGTTATTAGAAAGAGGTACGAGGCATCAAAGTAAGTGCTTTAATTGATTAATTGATATTATGATGTAGAAATCATGTTTACATTGTTATTATGATATTCCTAGTATCATGTCTAGGTTATTTTTAATATTAAACATGATTGCTATGATGTCTTTTGTTCTATTCCTAATATTTATGATTGTTAGTATCATGTTAGGGTTAAAGATTTGATTTTTAATGTTTAGTGACATGCTAGGGTTTGTTATTAATCTGGTTAGTATGATGCCTAGGATCTTACTTTTATTAAGCTTTAACATGAATATTGTTATAATTGTGATAATTATGATTATTATTAATTATGATTCCTATGATTATGATATTCGTTATTGTTCATGATTATTATTTTATTGATGATTATTTATCATGATGCTTGATACTTATTCTTTATTGCTTGATCATCGCCTTTATTGCATATTTAAAGGGAATTGGTACTTGTAATCACGCTTAATAAGATATTAATAATCTTGTTAGGGTTAATTTGATTATAATTTCAAGTGATCACCAATAATAGTTTATTTGTGCATTATTATTCAACCAACATAAACAGGTTTAGGGTTAATCCTATTGATTGCATGTTGATCAGGAAGCGCACATAAATACGAGCAGAATAAAGTAGAGGCCTATTATTAGGGCAGGTTCTATCTCTTTTAGGTTGGATTTGTACCTTCATCCCCGAACCCTTATTTAGTTCTAGACCTTACGGAGTTGACGATCTCTTGGATCGTTAAGGGGTGTAACCTTCACCTCGTGAACGGTTTACAAGTTCCTTAAAAAACTTGTTGGCGACTCATTTGCTCTATCTTCTTCCCTTTTGGACGCCACCGTACTTTAGTGTATGATCACAGTGGGGTTCAAGCTAGTGGGATTTAAAGGCTTGAAATTTATTCCCTACAGTATGATTATTATATTACGTTACATTTGTATATTCTAATGGCCGCCCTTAATACTCAAGTATTTAGTTTTATATTTCCAAATATAAATATTTATTTTGAAGTCAAACTTAATCCCATTCTGTGAACTAAAACTTTGTTAAGTTTATTAATTCCTCAAATGTGAACAAGGTAGCAGCGCTCTTTTTCTGGTCCACGACCCTAGTCACTTTCAATCAACTTGCAGCAAGGTGTACGGTTCGAATCCTACTTCTTACTTTAAATAAAAAAATTTAATTTTTTAAAATTTTTGTTTTTAATTTTTTTCCCCAAAAGTCCTTAGTCCTTGAAACCCTAACCTATTGTCATTGTTTCACTCCTACTCACTCTTTCTCCTTCCTCATTCGGCGGCAAGCAGAAAACTTCTCACCTTCTTCCCTTTGTTCAGGTAAAACGCTTTCCCTCTTGAATTTTTGTTTCCTATGATTGAGTTCCTCATTTCCGTAGATAACTTTTTTTCCTTTTCATTGTACATGCAACAATTGATGGGTTTTTTAATTTAACTAAATTTGGTCAAGTAATTACATAAAACCGTTTATAAATGAGGTAAAATGGTTAAATTTTGTAAGTTTATTGTTAGTTTAGACGATTTTGTCATGTTTAATTCACACAATTTGGAATACGTCTTGCAGATGTTCAAAATTGAGCTTGAATTTGAGAATATGATACTATTATCCTAAGGTTGTTTGAGTTTTGTAGAATTTTGGGGAGTTATATTGAGGTTTGATGGATTTGTTTGTATGAGTATATATGTTAGTATGTTCTTTGATAAAGCATCCGAAGAATATTCCCTTTTATTGTTGTAGTAGAATGGTGGATCCTTTTCCCGTTTTATGTAATACAATTAGGAAAAAAATTGTTGGATAATTCAATTTTTGGTAGTCCTATAACATACATGTAGATTATGGTCTCAAGTACAGTCAATTGTGAGTATTTATGGTAGATTTTCTATTTTTGGATGTCAAACACTTAAAATGTATGGTGAATCTTTAGTTGAGTATTTCTAGGAGTAGTCCTTGAAATGTGGATGAGTGGTTTTATCCTATTTAGCAAATGTTGAGCTTTATTTGGCCATACAGATCTGTCATTATGTATTATATAATCGATTCTATTAGATTCTTTGTCAGTCTGCATAGTATACCCCACCATTGTTGCGACACTAATTTGTAGTTTTTGGGATCTACGAGAGTAGGTTGAAAAAGAATGTCTATTAGGAGATTTGAGTTCACAATCGACACTCGTCGCCGCTTACAAAATGTGGTGACTTTATTATGATATTTTGTTGTTTACGTGGAGTTTATAAAAGATCCATGCTCAACCTAGCTATTCAATGATTTTTTTGCTATCCAGCCTCTTCCAATGCGTATGAGTCGCCGGGTGAAAGAAATGTGTACAAGGTCGAATGATAATTGTGAGGTTAAATTTCGCCTTCGTAGGGGAAGTGACCCAAAAACATACATTGTGCATTTGAAAGATACTACCTGGGGTGATGGTCTTGTGGAAACTTTTTTAAGTGAAGGATGGGGGGACTTTGTGAGCTCAAATAACTTAAAAGTGGGATTTTTTTTTCAATAGAGGATTTAGAGGAATTGGTGTATCGTGTTAGGATCTGGCTTGATGACATTGAGTTAACAGGTGAAGAACCGAGAGTTGACGGGGGAACAGTGTACAAACCCCCTTCTTCAAGTTCCAGTTCACCAAAGGCTACATGGACAAACCCACAATTGTAAGTAAATGTTTTGAGCTAAGTTGTGGCTTCGTTGATATATAATTTTTTACAGGTCATCCATTTAATATTTATCTCATTTTACTTTGTACGACTTAGAACGTTCCGACTTCCTTCGCTCGAGCACATTTTGGAGACCTCCAAGACCCCTATGATGTTCAATTGTTCTTGTCTAAGACGCATGATGCAAAAATGCATATTTATTATGATCGCAAGGACAACATTATAGCTTGCTCCGTCAAGAAAGGTGTTACAGAATTCATTGACGTCGAAGGTGTTCAACTCGGTTAGAAGGTTTTGGTTGACTTGGTTCAAATGTATCCACCTGTTTTAAGTATACGCTTTACTTGAACGACCATCCTTATGCTTCTCCATGGTCTTTGTTAGAACATTTTGTGCCTATTCAAACAATATTTCGGCTATTAGGTAATAGTGTTTTGGGGTGTCATCTTGAACTTAGTATGTACTTCCTTAAAAACGCCTAGCTTATTTTTAACTTTAAATTTCCTATGTTATTAAACTTAAAGTATCTGACTTATTCTAGTAGGAGTACTATAGTAGTAGATTTGACATGATGTGTAATATTAATGATAAACTGCAATGAGTGATCTTTAGGATATCTTTTGATGGATTGGATTATATTTGTGGCCTTTGTATCAATTCCGATCGTAGTGTTTAATTTTCATTGAATAATGTGTACCATTTAAATGGTTTAATTACAAGTTTTCAATTTTTTTAAACTGAAAAGAAATTAATTGAAAAATTATCACATAATTATTAGTTTATTGGTCTTACCTAGTTCTTGTTTAATGTCTCAGTAAGTATATACCCCTTTACTTCTGTTCAGTATTTCTTCCTTTTTTTCATCCCTTAACCTTTGATACAATTTGCAAAAACATCTTGCAAAGGAATGACAAAATGAGAAAATAATTGCAAAATTTTCACATTGTTATAATAGTACGGAGGAAGTATAATGCATTAAAAAGCTATAATAGTACGGAGGAAGTATAATGCATTAAAAATGGAGGTCTTATATACACTAAACATTCTCTATTGTACGAAATTCCCAATTATAAGCTTAAAAATGTATCACACCTCATATACGTAGTATTAAATGTCTAGTCCATCCTCAAGGAGTTTTTAAAATTCTCTTTTATAATCTAATGTATATTTCTTATGTTGTTTCTAGTGTTTGTATACATTGAAGTGTGAATGTAAATCAAATGTTATCCATTAAGTGAATACTAGGTTAAGTCCCGTGTCATGCACGGTAATTTTTAATACTTCTAACTTATCAATTTATCATTAGTTTAATACTATTATTTTATTATTAAAAATTATACCTAATTGCAAATTAGTATGAAATTTATTTCTGTAATTAAAAAACAATCAAAAAATATTTAAGACACTAAAGAAAACAGAGACAATAATGTATGTACGACTATTAAAAATAACTATGAATTACATTACAAAGTTGTAAATAGTAGACTATTATTGCATAAAATTGTACTAAAAAAAAACTAATATGTTTGTTTGAATGTGCACAAATGGATTATAATTATCAAATAGGAAATGAAAAATTATATAAATATATATATTTGTAAAATGGGAAATTATATATTATTGTATAGTTTGCATTAAAAACTTTTCTAAGAAGATTTGGAAATAAATAATCACTTAAAAAAACTTTTGGAGGGAACATTCTTAACTAGGATATGACATTTGTCTTTTTCGGTTTGGCCTTTACTATAAAGTGTTAAAATAACATGTTATTACATAGAATATTTTCCGTTGAATTTGTTGATTATTGAGGTATATATATGAGTAAGCATTGTGTTATCGTCCGTTTTATTTATGTTCATTTAATGTGGACTAAATAGCTCACCAATGGTGTATATATATATATATATATATATATATATATATATATATATATATATATATATATATATATATATATATATATATATATATATATATATATATATATATATATATATATATATATATAATAGGAACTAAAAACCATTCTCAGCCATTAATCGCACTCAATTTGATGGCTCACGTTTCACCCGCATTCATTAATGGCATTTTCGTAATTATGCGTTTTTTGAAACTTTTTTTCCAGTTTTTAAACTTTTAAGGCAATTTCATTTATTTTATGACTGATTTCATTTACTTTTACTAACTTTTTATTTACTTTTTAGAAATGAATCTGGGAATCAGTTTGTAACATTCAAATATTACAAAAATGTCATTAATGACACGGGAAGCATATGAGCCGTCGGATTAACATGATCTAAGGGCCTAGATTAGTTCCTAGTTTTTATTTTAGCCTTGGTTCTCATTATAACTTTATATATATAATTGATTCTTTATCTTATGTAAGGAAGATGAAAAGAATACGACTTTATTTAGGTGTACTTGAAACACTTAATTTCCTTACTTAAATTTGCAAGATACATAACGACTAAAAACCTGAACTTTATTTTTATAAGAAGTAGGTGGTATGTGGCATTTGAGTGATTTGAGGTGACATGTGGCATATGAGTAATGCGTGGTTCAGGTTATTAAATACTTGGGGTCTGCTCTCATCGACTGAACTTAGCTGAACGGAATTGAACGAAACTGAATCGAACTGCATAGAACTGAATTGTATTGAACTTAAATGAAATGAAATGAACTGAATTTAAACGTACGAGAACAAGCCCTAAGTATAGAGTAATGCGTACGGATTTACAAATTGGGTTATCTCTATAATTAATTCTTATAAAATGGTTATTTCTGGAATCATTTATTTATAATGGTAGTTTACCATAATTAACAAATGCCAATTGAAATTGATAAGGGAAATTCTCAATGGTACTCTTTAGGTTTTTTTTTCTCTCAATGGTAAACACTAAAATATCAAATTATCTTTGGTAATCTATAAATTATAAAAATAATTCAATGGTAACATTAGTTAAGCATTTTAAGAAAATCTTAACCATGGTTTAAGTTTTAAAAGAGAGGGAAAAGAAAAATGTCTAAAATACCCTTATTGAACAAAAACCCACCACCCCTTCTTCCCCTGCCATCCCTGCCAGCCAACCTCCTCCTCCATAAAATCCGGCCACCTCCTTCCCCTCCATTTCCAGCCACCCTTCCCTGGCCAACTCTCCCCCCCCCCCCTTTCCACTCCATTTTCCGACCAACCCTTTCCCCACGAAACCCCCTACCCGAAACCAACAACCCCAAATCGCGACAAAATCGTTCAACTCGACGATTCCATCGGCGAAATCACAGCTGACCCTTCTATCTCCTTTAATCAATCTTACCCAACCACCAAAGCCATCTTCATACCCGACAAAGATTGCTCCAAACCCGATAATCTCGCTACTTCCTTCTATGGTTTCGATGAAGATTAAACCGACTTCAACAAATTGGGTCAATTTTGCCGCCGGTAATTAACATGAATCTGGAGCTAATTTCACGAACCCTAGGTCGAGATCAACAAGGTTTTTGGGGATTGGCGTCGGTCTTTGGAGGTTCTGCTTGGGGTTTTTCGAGGGTTGGGGATGATTTTTAAAGGGTTTAGAGTTTCGTGGGGCTAGGGAGGGGGATGGTGGTTCGTGCGGCACCGGTGCTGAAGGGTCTAGGCACGTCCGGCGCCGAGGGATGGGGGATCGAGGCTGGAGGCCGGTGGCTGGGGAAAAGTGTGGTTGGTGGTTTTTGTTAAATTTTTTTAAAAATAATAATTGTTAAAAATGAAAGGAAAATCTGATTTTCAAGGGCATATTAGTCATTTTGCCTTTAATTAACCATAGTTAGGCTTATAAATATAAATTAATCTCATTAATATTACCACTCAATTAATAACACAAATTGTTGATTACCAAAGATAATTTAATTCTTTGATGTTTACCATTGAGAAAAATAAAAAATACAAGAGTACCATTGAGAATTTCCTAATTGATAATGATGATAAATTTTATATTATTAGTATAATAAATTTTTTTCCCTTTTATTTATAATAAGATTTCAAATTTGAAAAATAGTTTCTCCATCAACTTAAACTCAATAACCACACATCCTCTAATCGTAAGGCCTTACCGCTTATCTAATTATTAACATATTATATATATATAAAAAAAAAAGGAAAATTAAAGGCTAAACGAGACTTTATAATTAATATAAATATTAAAACAAAAAGTTGTATAGTACTTTGTTTTCCAATTGCCTGAGTAAGACAAAATAAAAAATTGGAAATGTAAATGTAATAAAAAATATTAATATACTATTTGTCAAATAAATGATAATATTAAACAATAGAATTAAATATAAAACCATACCACTTATCCATGAAATTTTCAATTTTATTTTATATTTTTTGTAAAAGTGTCCCGATTTTTTTGTGTGGTATTGTATTTCACCTTTCAAAGCCGTATAATTTTATTTTTCAATTAATCTATTTGTGTATGTTCAAAATGATTTATCAATACATGTGAAAATTATGTGTCACAAAATATTGGGATTCTTATTATGGTATTTCTTGCCCAAATTTCTTGGAGAAAATATTATTAGTCCTAGTATAGTACTAAAATACTGTATGTAGTTGACTAATTAAGGTTACACAAAAAAATTTGATTTTAAAAAAAATATTATCTGTTGCAGCATGATTTTAGCGATAATTCTTCACTTGTTGTACTAAGACCAATCAAATAGTGAGCATGAATTTTATCCTCAAAGTATCTCTCTCATATATATAGCTTGCTACACTTAATATTTTTTTTACTAAACTCTAAATTATTAATTTGTGTAAATAAAAAAATATATATTTTCTTACCTAAATAGCATTTACCTTTTGAAATCTCCAATGACTCTTGTATGGTTGCACCATGTGTCCCTAAGAGTCCCTAAACTTTTGGCCTATGAAAACTGATTTAGCCACTAGGCCACACCCCTATTGGTCCCATATAATATAATTTCCAATTTAATTTCTGTGAAGTAATAGAGTGAAATATCCCCTAAATATAATTTTAAATTCATTACAATTATTGCTACTAGTTCACTAAGGTCCCCAAACTATGCTTAGCCAACTTAATTGTATCTAAATTTGAGTATTTGGTGGATTATGTACCCAGCTGCCTTATATAAAATTTGAGTAACCTTAGACCCTTGTCAGAACACTTGGGTGGAGATCATCATTTTGTGTCTTACGATTTAGTTTTAAGAGTTATCCCGGTTTGCTGAATAACTGCCAAAGAAGTCTAAATTTGTGTGTTTAATTTACAAATCCCGATTTAAGACTTTTAATTGAGACTCATTTCTCCTATGTTTTAATTATACACTTTTATTGTAATTTTTTTAACACTTTTTTTGTAATATTCAACTTTAAGTGTTAAATTGTTAGGGCTAAAGTGATAAATATGTGTAAATCTTATTAACTCTTAACAACAATTTGATGACACCCTTGACATTAGTACTAGATTCACTAGAAATGATGTCCAGTTATAGTCTTCAGAGTTCGGCATAGACTTGGTCATAGATACACATATCAAGTTGAGGGACTGTAGTTTACATTAACTCATGTAATTACAAGTATATAGACATGATAAATATGTCATCTATTAAAATTTGAGGTTTAAAATC